TTTTTTTTTTTTTTTTTTTGTCGAATATATATATGTAGTGTTTAAATATGATAAACTTTAGTATTGACTCCCGACTTTACGTATTAGATCGACAATTCAAAATGAATGGTTGTGTATATTAAAATAAAATGTAACTGGCAGCGCTTTCGCATTTTCCCAAAAAAGGAAGGAAAAAAGGAAAGAAAAGGAAAAATCTTAAAAGTCTCCCATTTGATCGGTCGAAGAAACGTGAGGCATTCAGTCGGTGTGATCATGCGGTTGGAGGAGAATGGAAATGACAGCACACCACTGATGGAAAGCCCACCAACCCAATGGAATCCAGATTTAGGAAGATACGATCAAATATTAAATTTTGGGAATTAAATTACAAAGAGGTGAGAATGGAAGAAGCTAAAAATAGAAGAAGGTATAAGAAGCTTAATCTGAAAACGGATCTTAAATCTTTCAAAACGTCACTCTACAGTTGGAAACGTGTAACGGTCAAATCCGGCGCCGCGCATACGTTGTGAAGTCAAATTTGAGGGTAGTTAGTAAATGGAGACAAAATAGTTGAGAAGACCCCTTCTTGTGTTTTTTCGTTGAAGTGACATGAGTTCATATGAACATTGTTAAGATTGGTATTTCATTCAACATTCATTTAGATCCATTGCCATTCTCAATTCGCATGCGATTATCACATTCTTGCACTCTCTCTATTGCTTGCTATGGCTTTAATTCAAATGTGGAGCCAGAAATCTAGTGATATTTTCTTGGCCTGTAATAGATCTGTCTTACGGTTGTTATGGATGTGTTCTTCCATCCTCTATTCAAACTTCAAAGAGGGGGAGTTTTGTGGAAGTCAATTTTTTGGGTAACTTTATGGGACATCTAGCTCAATAGGAGTTTGCATACATCTTTGGGATACATCTTTGAGATGGAAGGTCTAACAAGTATCTTAGTTAAAACAAATGTGGGTCTTCATTATAATCTTTCCTTCAAAATAAACAGGACAAATATGCTGTGAACTTTGCCATTGTGTTCCTCCTTAAAAGAAAATGCTGTTTTTCCCCCTTAGCTGTATATCCACGTGTCACACTTCATATTGGCGATGGTAGTCAGCTATGCTTAGTTTTTTCTCCCTAGCCATGGACTTCTGCTTGGATTCTTCTTGCTTTTAAACGTTTACAGGAGTTTCATTTTTGAAGGCTGTCCCGAAGGGACTTATGATGCTATTATAGTGGATTCTTCTGATCCCATAGGTAAACTATCTGCCTGAGGGTATCTTTTCACGCTGTAATTTTCGAGTGCATCTTCAGGTCCTGCACAACAGCTTTTTGAGAAGCCATCCATCTTTGAATCGGTAGCCAGAGCTCTTGGATCCAGAGGGGTTGTTGGGAAAAAAGGAATAGTGAGAGAGAGAGAAATAAATAAAATAGATGAAAGCTACTATGTAAACATATTGTCTATTGACTTATACTTAGAGGGTTGCACAATTACTGTATATACACTGGACAAAAAATAGTAAATAATGTAAATATATATAAATTTAAATCTACTAACAATCTTCTAAAATCTCCTAAAATCTTGGTAGTTTAAATATTTGAATCATATCTCATACTTTAAATCATATCTCAACACTCCCCCTCGATTCAAAGTTGCAGAGGTCAAGTACAGAACTTTTATTTTGACAAGGCTTTTGATACCACTTGACACAATCACACTTTTGAAGGCAGCGGACTAGCGATTGTGTGGCACTCATTTTCCAACGACAAGTGCGTTAAGCCAATTTGTTATTGTGTCGCCTACGGCCAAGTGACATTTTGTGTGGCACTCACTTTCCAAAGAAGAATGGTTGTTTAGTGATGCTGAAGATGATGAATTTGACACATTTTGTGTTGCAGTGGATGCACTAGGAGATGCACTGGCGTTGCCCTTGTCTCTTCATTTGGGGAAACTTCAACTGTAATCTTTTGTTGTTCCGGTTCTTTACTCCAATCCCAACTCAAGTTTTCATTAAATATTACACCCCTTCTAACTAAAATCTTTTCACTGATGGGGTTGTATAATTTATATGCCCGGAGTACAATAGTCAATGAAAATGCATTTTTCAGATTTTTCATCAAGCTTTTGACGAATTTGAGGATGTTTTAAAGCATAAGCAACACAACCAAAGATTCGTACATGACTTACAAATGGTTTCCTTTCATGTCATGCTTCATAAGGAGTTCGATTCATAACCGCCTTTGTTGGTGAGATGTTTAATAGATAAACAAATGTTGTTACGGCTTCTGCCCAAAATTGGTTTGGTAGTCTCCTTGCTTGTAACATACTTCTTGTCATTTTGTTCTGGAGTGTAGGGAGCTGTTAATTCCCTTTGGATGCCCTCTTCTTCACAAAACTTATTGAACTTTTTAGATATGAACTCGTCACCTCTGTCTGTATGAAACACTTTAATGTGACAGCCACTTTGGTTCTCCACCATAGCTTTAAAAATCTAGAACTTCTGAAAAGTTTTTGACTTATGCTGAGAATTAAACCCAGCTCATTCGACTATAATCATCAATGAATAGTAAAAAATATATACTCCCACCCAAGGACTTCGTTTGCATTGGCTCACATAAATCAGCATGAATTAGTTCTAGACAATATGAAGCTCTTCTAGCTTCTCCAACAGGAAAGAACTCCCTTCACATAAATTAGTTGAGTCGATTCTTGGTAACCGAAAACCATACCTTTATCTCTGATTATTTTCAGGCCGTTCATATGAAGATCTCCATATCTGAGATGCCATAATGTTGAGTCATCTTTAGTGCTAGTAGTAAGAGCAAAATCCTCCCTATTAGAAACATCAAGTGGAAACATCTTATTTGAAGTCATGACAATTTGAACTTTATGACCTAATTTCTTATGTGTAATGACACATGTCTTGTCATCAAATATAACGGAATGTCCTCTGGTCATCAATTGTCCAACACTCAATAAATTGTACCTTAAATCAGGTACAAATTGAACATTATCTAATTGTTTTATCTTACCATGATTGGTTTCGACTTTCATTGTATCTTTTCCCTCAACTTGCATCTCTTTTGTGTTTTCAAGTTGCACCTTAATTTTTTGTATCTCATCAAGCTCTTTGAATAAGGATTTGGTGCCTGTCATATGGTTCGAGCATCCGCTATCAACAAACCATAAGTCACTTTTTTTTGGATTAGTATCCATGCATGCCATAAACAACTTTTCTTCTTCATCTTCATTCTCTGCTGCAAAATTCATTCGTTGATTTTTATACCAACAATCAGATTTTGTGTACCCATACCTTCTATAACATTGTATGACATTCCTTTGTTCATTGAATTGTCTCTGTCCATCACTTCTCCATCTACCCTTGTTATCACGACCACCATGGAAGTTGCGAAATCTTCCTCTTCTACGACTTCTACCTACTAAATGAATATTTTCTCTTTCGTTGTTTTCATGGTTGGTTGTCTCCTTCACTGAAGTGCCTTTTTTTCATTCCTTTTTGATGATCTATTGATTCTTGCCTCATGAGCCTGAATCGAGCCCATCAGTTCATCAACGGAGAGTATGGATAGATCCTTAGCTTCTTCTATGGCAGCCACCACATGGTCACTTTGGAGTCAAGCTTCTCAACATCTTTGCAACAATTGTTTCATCTGAAATTTTCTCTCCATAGGTACGCGTCTGACTGACTATTGCCATTGCTTTTGACAAAAAATCAGCAATTGATTAGCCATTCGTCATGAATAGAGTTTCAAAATCACATTTTTGATTAGTCATTCGTCATGAATAGAGTTTCAAAATCACGTCTTAGAGATTGCAATTTCACTGTCATGACCTTTGAATCTCTTAGAAACTCCTCCAATAGAATTGACCATGCCTGCTTTGATGTGGTTGTTGCTGCAATTAGTGAAAAAATAGTCTCATGAACTGCTTGCTGAATAATGAATAGAGCCTTGACATCGTTTTTCTTGGTCTCTCTTAGTCTCTCCTTTTCTTCTATGGTGGGTTTTAATAGATTAACAAACCCGTGCTCCACCAAGTCCCATAGCTCCTGCGATCTGAGCATCATCTTAACGCTCCACCACTCATATTTCTTACCATTAAAGATTGGTAACAACGGTGCAGAAGAAGAAAAACTAGCTACTGCCATTTTTGTTTTGTGAAAGAAAATAATCACTAGACCTCGTGTCAAACGAACTTGGTTATTGTCTACTGGAGGGTTACACAATTAGAGTATTGATAGCTTATACTCTGTACCAGAAATAGTAAATCATGTAAATTTAAGATAAATTCAAATCTACTAACACTCTTCTAAAATCTTGGTAGTTTGAATATTGAATCATATCTCAACTACTCTAAATCATATCTTCATTTTTTAATACTTTTAATTATATCTCAACAGTTGTGTGCACTCCGGCTACATGGCTTCAGATGCACGTTATTGGAGACATAGTGGCAAACTGTCTCCAAGTATTCAAAGGCTCTGTAAATTATGCATGGACTACAGTTCCAACATATATCCCCGGCAAACATTTCCAGATGAATATTAACTACTCTTTTCTTTTCTGCTTATAGAGATAAGATGTGATCATCATATCTGGCTGCAACGTTTCCACAACTTTTGCCAAGAAGGTGTTATTGATTCAATAGCAAAATGAGGATTGGTTTGGGTCTTCATTTTCAACCAAATGCCTTGTCTACCAACACATTTTACCCCCACTAGAATTAGACGTTTTATTAATTTCTCCGCCAGAACCAGACGACACCCTAGACAAGCTTAAGAGAAATCTATCTAAAGGGCCTCCAGTTTTGATTTGCACCTTTTGTATAAACTTTACCAATATCAAGAATTATTAAGATAATACGTGAAAAAATAACTGTGGCCTAAAAAACGAAGGTCATCGTCACCCAGCACGCCAAATCTTTGTATATATTATTACACAAATACATAACACAGGAATAAAATATGGGTTCGACTTCAGTGTTGTCTGGTTCTACATTTGTTTATACATTTCAACAGCACAAACTTTAATATAAAAATAAGGAGTGGATAAGCTTTGATGTATTATAATGGTGGGTTTCCATGTCACAAGCCATACATATATGACACTTGTCATTGATGATCAGGATTCACGAAGAGGGAATTTTATTTTAAGGAATCAATGTCCGCAACACAATACAAAAACCAACCACCTCACTTTAAAAACAAGAATAAAAAAGAAAACCCATATGAGATCCACGTCAAAAAATTAGTTCACCAAATCAACATTAATAATATGCTTGTCTATTGAACTCATAAGATATAAATGTACAGGAAAGTGAATTACCTCCAGGGAACATAAATTGGCCTGTAAGTACAGACAATCAATAGACTATAAAAATTCATTTAATCAAAAGCTTCTCCCTCTCAACATTGCTTAGCATAACAACAAAATTAAACCAACATTATTGGGGTTTTGTCGAGTTCCCCGATGAGAATTGTCGGTGAGAAATGTGTGTGAGAGAGGAGGAAGAAGAAAGAAGATGAGGGAAAAGCTTAGTCAACTTTGTTCAAAATTCAAACTACTGATATGACTACTAATATTATGAATCCATCTAAAACTGACGCTTTAGTTCTCCCTTACCTTACATACATGTGTGTTCCCTTTTTTTGAACTAAAAAAAGAATAGAAAAAATGTAATTCTTTAATTAATATATTGTAAAGATTGAAGCTTGTAATGAGTAATTATATTCTCTCCTACTGTCAAAAACATAATTACTGAATCAATCGGATAATAAAGATTATTTATTAGATATGAGTTTAGTTGATCTCACAAGAATTTGGAAGTTACGTCAGCTTCCATCCACTCAATTCGCTCGCTCCAATTCCCATTAGAAGGTTTCCAGAATTCATAGCAGTCAGGCCAACTTCTTACGGACCTCAAAACTTGATTACTCTCGCTCTAAAACCTCTAAACCATCCTCCCGCTGTGTCTTTTCGTGTTTGCCTCTTCTGCCTTGTCTGAATTCGTGGTGGTTCACCTGCTTTTCTATTTTCAATTAAAACCCACGTTTATTATCTCATCTCTTTTCCAAACATTTTCCCCTTCTTTTTAAATAAATCTCTCTCCATATTGATTGATATTCACGTTCCTTGCTGCATTCGCCTAACTTCTTATCTCAACAATTCGGTATTCTCTCCAACCATGGTCTTGTTCAAATTTTGAGCCCTCTGCTTATGGATCTGGAAACTGGGGTTTATCCGAAGTATGCTAAGGTGAGCTAAAAATCTCTCAACTCTGCATTAATTCCTAATCTCCACAGTTTCTGAATGAGAATCCATCTTAGTTTCTAATTTACCCTCCCTTTAATTGCAGAAGGATTCATGGAAGACAGTTCTGACTCTAGCTTTTCAGAGTCTTGGGGTCGTCTATGGTGATTTAAGCACCTCACCTCTATACGTGTATAGGAACACTTTTGCTGAAGAAGACATTGAACACTCGAAGACCAACGAAGAGATTTACGGCGTTTTGTCATTCATTTTCTGGACCCTTACCATTGTCCCTTTGCTCAAATATGTATTTATTGTGCTCAAAGCAGACGATAATGGCGAGGGAGGGACTTTTGCTCTCTACTCATTGTTGTGTCGACACGCCCGAGTCGGCTGGTTGCCCAATGTTCAAGCGGCAGACGAGGAGCTGGCTGAGTACAAGAAAGAAACCATAATTTTGCCACCCAAAAAAAGCTTTGCATCTAAGCTGAAATCCACGTTAGAATCGCATAAGGTATTGCAGACACTTTTGCTCATTCTGGCTTTGATCGGGACGTGTATGGTAATTGGCGACGGCATCTTAACGCCTGCTATTTCTGGTATTTATGGCATTCCCTTTCTTGGTTGTGAGTTTAAGAAACAAACAAACAAACGACGTAGGGTATTTGTTTGTAACTAATTGGTCTTGTTTTGGACTGTCATAGTTTTTTCTGCTGTCTCTGGACTGGAGTTCACGATGTCAAAACAGCATCATAAATGTAAGATTTAAAACCTTGCTCCATTTTTCTATCATCATCACTTTGTTTGCCATTGAACCAGTGGTTGAATGTGTTTTAGTATTAATGTAATTAATTTTACCATAATCCATCTGCTCAAGCTTTTGGTTTGATTGGTGTTTAACATGATATTAGAGCTTTGAACCCTTGCTAATATTGATTTTCACTTGCTGGCTTTTTATACATTTCTAAGCTCACAAGAGAGGGGGAATGTTAAAATCTTGATATAATTAAATTTGTTAAAACACAACAGCTTTAAAACTTTGAGTTTATTGGCGATTTAACAGAAAGATGGTGACGAATTTCGCTCTGTTGGATTCATCTCTGACAAAGTAAAAGCTTGTAGATTTTACAGTGTATTTGATTTTGAATTCCAATGTATCGTGAAGGTTTCCTTCTTTTGGAAAATTTTGTTAATGCCTGAAGTACCTACTGTTGAAGGGTCACTAGTAGATACATGTATGTAGTGACCCTTCAACACCTACTGCAGCCGTGCATCTATAAAATGTTATTCGAAGGTCATTAGAACATGCTTGATCCAGGCAAGACTTCCTTTTCAAACGTTGATATTATCGCAGATGTGGAAGTTCCAGCTGCGTGCATCATACTGATAGGCTTGTTTGCCCTTCAACATTATGGAACGCACAGGGTTGGGTTCTTGTTTGCTCCTATAGTTACAACATGGCTTCTGTGCATTAGTGCAATTGGTTTATACAACATCATTCACTGGAATCCTCATGTTTATCAAGCACTTTCTCCTTATCATATGTTCCTATTCTTGAAGAAAACAAGGAGAGGAGGTTGGATGTCACTAGGAGGGATTCTACTTTGTATAACTGGTAACCAATGGTGATACAATTTTTGAAATTCATCCTTTCAGAGGCAGATGTTCCGTTAGTTTATGAAATGTTGTTTGACTCTTCCAGGTTCAGAAGCCATGTTTGCTGATCTTGGACACTTTTCACAATCATCCATCCAGGTAACTGGGTATCTCTGGTTTGGTTTCAGATTTTGAAGATTCATACGTATTGGCGTTTGGTTTTAAAATGAATCCTGATTGAGATCTATATTGGTCTTGTTTGAAAAAAAGAAATATTCTCGTAATGACTGTATCTGCGCAAGTTCATCTTCAATCTGTATGTAATCTGTTCGTGTAAATCTCTGATCTGAAGAAGCTTCCTTTGTCAAATAATTTGTGACAGATTGCATTTAGCTTTATGGTGTATCCATCTTTGGTTTTAGCTTATATGGGGCAGGCTGCGTATCTATCTCAACATCATTCGATACCAAATGATTATCGAATTGGATTCTATATATCTGTTCCAGGTACTTTTAGTTACTTTACATGATATTTATGTAATATGGTTGCTTCCAGCTGATCTGATCTGATCTTAGGTGCTTCTTATTTATTGTCCAGAGAAGTTACGTTGGCCTGTTCTAGTAATTGCCATCCTTGCTGCTGTAGTAGGAAGCCAGGCCATCATCACTGGAACTTTCTCGATTATTAAGCAATGCTCTGCTTTGAATTGCTTCCCCAGAGTCAAAATAGTTCATACATCATCTAAAATTCATGGTCAAATTTATATCCCTGAGATTAATTGGATCCTGATGCTATTATGCTTAGCCGTTACAATTGGTTTCAGAGATACAAAACGTTTGGGTAATGCATCAGGTATGAAACCACAATTAATGATTGCTGGGTGTTATCTCTTCTTGGAGATACACTTGGTTCCATGATTTTAAGGCTAAATGAGCGTGCTGGTTTTATATATTTATTTGTTTCGGTGAAACAGGCTTGGCAGTAATCACGGTGATGTTGGTGACGACCTGTTTAATGTCGTTGGTCATTGTGATTTGCTGGCACCAGAGTGTTGTCCTAGCAATTTTCTTTGTGGTCTTCTTTGGGTCAATTGAAGCCATGTATTTTTCAGCTTCTCTCATTAAGTTTCTAGAAGGAGCATGGGTTCCCATTGTGCTTGCCGTGGTCTTCATGATTATTATGTATGTGTGGCACTATGGAACGCTGAAGAAGTATGAATTTGATTTTCAAAATAAGGTCTCAATGAATTGGTTGCTTAGTGTGGGATCCAGTCTAGGTATTGTCCGAGTCCGCGGGATTGGCATTGTGCACACTGAACTTGTCTCAGGGCTTCCAGCAATGTTTTCACACTTCGTGACCAACCTTCCTGCGTTCCACCAGGTGGTGGTTTTTCTTTGCATCAAGTCTGTTCCAGTCCCACATGTTAAACCTGAAGAGCGGTTCCTAGTTGGTCGAATTGGAGCTCGTGAGTACAGGTTGTACAGGTGCGTTGTGCGATATGGATACAGAGATGTGCACAAGGATGACACCGAGTTTGAAAAAGATCTTGTATGTAGTATAGCTGAGTTTATAAGATCACAGAAGGTGGAATCCAGTGGTTGCAATGCTAATGCAGAGGATGATATTTGGAAGGAAAATGAGAGAATGACAGTAGTTGGAATGTGCTGTACGCATAGAGACGGAATTCAAATGCAAGAGGATGATGATGAAGAGTTAGGGGAGACGTCTGAGCATAGGGAAATAATGTCACCACGATGTCGGAATCGTATCGTCCGGGCACCCAGGAAAAGGGTGAGGTTTATTGTGCCGGAGAGTCCAAAAGTTGAGGCAACAGCAATGGAGGAACTGCAGGAGTTGATGGAAGCAAGGGAAGCAGGAGTTGCTTACATATTGGGTCAGGCGCATACTAAAGCAAAGCAGGGATCCAGCATGCTACGAAAGCTTATAATTAATTATGGGTATGAATTGTTAAGGAGGAATAGCAGGGGACCCAGTTACCCCCTCAATTTACCCCATGCGTCTACTCTTGAGGTAGGAATGTTGTACCATCTCTGAAAACCCACGCCTACACCCACACCCACACCCACACCCACACCCACCTAAAATCTCTATTAATTGTACATCTTGTATCGTCTTACTCACTAAATCTTTACACTTGTATATACCTTGTTTGAGTTTTCAATCTCGTCCTTTCCAACTACCATTTAATTCTTATGTTGCCCCACCCAATGATACCTCATAAGAACCCGACCATTCTCAAATAAATGTACATTATCTTGTAGATTGTAAATAAATATTTAAGAAGAAAGTGTTTAGAAATATTTTAGCCTTACCTTAGGCTCAAAGTGATTTAAGAAAATTGTTTTAGATAAAGAACAAATCCTATCGTGTCAGAACCTATTATAATTATATTTCTAGTATATATTTGAATGGAGATTTAACAACTTTTCCCGTTTCAAATCTCTTTTCCAAAGCTGCACAGGGGAAAAATGGTGGGTAATGTCAACAATGTAAATAGAACTATTGACATGCATGCATGTCATAGCAGCTAAAATTCTTGATTTTGACAATGATAGCAATAAGGCGGCGAGATGGAAGTGCTGGTCTCATCCACATATAACTCTTGGTCAATCTCTTCCTTGGCCACCTTTTCCATGGATATGGACTGTAATTGCCTCTGTTGTAGTGGCAGTGGTGACTGTGAGCTGAGCGGCAGCGGCAGCGGCAAAGGCACCACCGAAGGTAGCTTTGAAAGGAGAGCCTCAAGGCTGCTCATGGAGGGAGTTACTCTGATCAATTGATGGTTCAAGTACGAGTGGCCATCGTAAAGTTCATATCCAGGGTTTGCTCTTCCTCTTCCAGAGAATTGCCATATATCTGACTCGCCACACCCATCGACCAGCTTGATAGGACATACCGACGACGAGGACGACGGATGTGGCAAAAGCACACCCGGGATCCTTTCTATATAGTGGAATTTCTTTCTTAAAAATACCACACAGCTCAAATCTTCAACAACCTTTAATATATAGTGAACAGGAAAGTAAGTACATATATGTTACTAACAAATTAGAATCAAACTGGCAATCATTAATTTTTTATCCCTCAAATTGTCTAAATATATAATTTATAAGTAGAGAGAGAACCTTGTGAATAGCTCCTAATTGAACAACTCCTTCCCGAACCGCTATAAGAGCTATGGTCTGCAACACAATGGGTTTAATTAGCAAGACCAATAAGGGTGTCAGAAATATTAGATCTAACTAACCTCCTCGTTTGGTCAACTATACCTTTATGCCCGACTGAAACTGCGCCTCCCAAGTTCTAGGTTGCTGTAAAATCATGCATGATTCTTTTAATTACTTGAAGAGGCACAAAATGGGAAATTAATAAACAACACAACAGAGATGGTTAATTAAAATAATTAGTACTATGTCAGCTGAGTTGTTATTGTGCCACGACGACGACGACAACAAGCTTATTTCTTGATCATTTGGTTCACTGTAAATCCACTTATGACTATGATCGGCCGCGACTTTTCCGATTAAACTGTGAATAGTAAAAGAATTAGAAGAAATTGATTGAATTGGTTTGAATTTGTTACAACAACTTACCCTTCTCCGTAACTATAGATCTCATGCGACATCTTAAAGAAGAGCTCTGGTTGAAGTCCCTGACAATTGGCAATATAGCTGGCTGACGATGAAGTGGCGGCGAAGTTGCAGAAACCATCTTCCCAGACTAGTATCCTGCCATTTCTCAACGTTTAGACATATAATTAAAAATTAAGTGCGCACATAAACTGCAGTGTGTACCAGTTTCTTCTGTTCCTTCTTGATCTGTCATAACCGCCTTGAGCATCCCATCTGCTATGAACACCAATGCAAGTAATGCATTTTATTATATTAATTAGGATACTAAAAGTGGAAGCCATTGGTTTTGGGCTTACTTGGGTGGAGGGTAATTTCTTGGCAGTATCCTCCAAAACACCGCATAAACCCACTGAGAGTTTTCATGGACGCTCAGACTTCTCAACGTATGTTGAAGAAGATGACTCACAGCTAATGGGCTCAGAACATGTTCTTCCATCACACTTACAAACCTTAATTACTCTCTGTCTTTCTCTCATAGACAACAAAAATCAAACAACCCAACCTCCTTTATATAACCAAATCTCTCTCTCTCTCTCTCTCTCCCCCCCCCCCCCCCCCCCCCCCCCCCCCCCCCCCCCCCCCCCCCCCCCCCCCCCCCCCCCCCCCCCCCCCCCCCCCCCCCCCCCCCCCCCCCCCCCCCCCCCCCCCCCCCCCCCCCCCCCCCCCCCCCCCCCCCCCCCCCCCCCCNGTTTAGGGTTTAGGGTTTAGGGTTTAGGGTTTAGGGTTTAGGGTTTAGGGTTTAGGGTTTAGGGTTTAGGGTTTAGGGTTTAGGGTTTAGGGTTTAGGGTTTAGGGTTTAGGGTTTAGGGTTTAGGGTTTAGGGTTTAGGGTTTAGGGTTTAGGGTTTAGGGTTTAGGGTTTAGGGTTTAGGGTTTAGGGTTTAGGGTTTAGGGTTTAGGGTTTAGGGTTTAGGGTTTAGGGTTTAGGGTTTAGGGTTTAGGGTTTAGGGTTTAGGGTTTAGGGTTTAGGGTTTAGGGTTTAGGGTTTAGGGTTTAGGGTTTAGGGTTTAGGGTTTAGGGTTTAGGGTTTAGGGTTTAGGGTTTAGGGTTTAGGGTTTAGGGTTTAGGGTTTAGGGTTTAGGGTTTAGGGTTTAGGGTTTAGGGTTTAGGGTTTAGGGTTTAGGGTTTAGGGTTTTAGGGTTTAGGGTTTAGGGTTTAGGGTTTAGGGTTTAGGGTTTAGGGTTTAGGGTTTAGGGTTTAGGGTTTAGGGTTTAGGGTTTAGGGTTTAGGGTTTAGGGTTTAGGGTTTAGGGTTTAGGGTTTAGGGTTTAGGGTTTAGGGTTTAGGGTTTAGGGTTTAGGGTTTAGGGTTTAGGGTTTAGGGTTTAGGGTTTAGGGTTTAGGGTTTAGGGTTTAGGGTTTAGGGTTTAGGGTTTAGGGTTTAGGGTTTAGGGTTTAGGGTTTAGGGTTTAGGGTTTAGGGTTTAGGGTTTAGGGTTTAGGGTTTAGGGTTTAGGGTTTAGGGTTTAGGGTTTAGGGTTTAGGGTTTAGGGTTTAGGGTTTAGGGTTTAGGGTTTAGGGTTTAGGGTTTAGGGTTTAGGGTTTAGGGTTTAGGGTTTAGGGTTTAGGGTTTAGGGTTTAGGGTTTAGGGTTTAGGGTTTAGGGTTTAGGGTTTAGGGTTTAGGGTTTAGGGTTTAGGGTTTAGGGTTTAGGGTTTAGGGTTTAGGGTTTAGGGTTTAGGGTTTAGGGTTTAGGGTTTAGGGTTTAGGGTTTAGGGTTTAGGGTTTAGGGTTTAGGGTTTAGGGTTTAGGGTTTAGGGTTTAGGGTTTAGGGTTTAGGGTTTAGGGTTTAGGGTTTAGGGTTTAGGGTTTAGGGTTTAGGGTTTAGGGTTTAGGGTTTAGGGTTTAGGGTTTAGGGTTTAGGGTTTAGGGTTTAGGGTTTAGGGTTTAGGGTTTAGGGTTTAGGGTTTAGGGTTTAGGGTTTAGGGTTTAGGGTTTAGGGTTTAGGGTTTAGGGTTTAGGGTTTAGGGTTTAGGGTTTAGGGTTTAGGGTTTAGGGTTTAGGGTTTAGGGTTTAGGGTTTAGGGTTTAGGGTTTAGGGTTTAGGGTTTAGGGTTTAGGGTTTAGGGTTTAGGGTTTAGGGTTTAGGGTTTAGGGTTTAGGGTTTAGGGTTTAGGGTTTAGGGTTTAGGGTTTAGGGTTTAGGGTTTAGGGTTTAGGGTTTAGGGTTTAGGGTTTAGGGTTTAGGGTTTAGGGTTTAGGGTTTAGGGTTTAGGGTTTAGGGTTTAGGGTTTAGGGTTTAGGGTTTAGGGTTTAGGGTTTAGGGTTTAGGGTTTAGGGTTTAGGGTTTAGGGTTTAGGGTTTAGGGTTTAGGGTTTAGGGTTTAGGGTTTAGGGTTTAGGGTTTAGGGTTTAGGGTTTAGGGTTTAGGGTTTAGGGTTTAGGGTTTAGGGTTTAGGGTTTAGGGTTTAGGGTTTAGGGTTTAGGGTTTAGGGTTTAGGGTTTAGGGTTTAGGGTTTAGGGTTTAGGGTTTAGGGTTTAGGGTTTAGGGTTTAGGGTTTAGGGTTTAGGGTTTAGGGTTTAGGGTTTAGGGTTTAGGGTTTAGGGTTTAGGGTTTAGGGTTTAGGGTTTAGGGTTTAGGGTTTAGGGTTTAGGGTTTAGGGTTTAGGGTTTAGGGTTTAGGGTTTAGGGTTTAGGGTTTAGGGTTTAGGGTTTAGGGTTTAGGGTTTAGGGTTTAGGGTTTAGGGTTTAGGGTTTAGGGTTTAGGGTTTAGGGTTTAGGGTTTAGGGTTTAGGGTTTAGGGTTTAGGGTTTAGGGTTTAGGGTTTAGGGTTTAGGGTTTAGGGTTTAGGGTTTAGGGTTTAGGGTTTAGGGTTTAGGGTTTAGGGTTTAGGGTTTAGGGTTTAGGGTTTAGGGTTTAGGGTATAGGGTTTAGGGTATAGGGTTTAGGGTATAGGGTTTAGGGTTTAGGGTTTAGGGTTTAGGGTATAGGGTTTAGGGTTTAGGGTTTAGGGTTTAGGGTTTAGGGTTTAGGGTTTAGGGTTTAGGNTTAGATTACACTGTATAGTAGTCTTTATTGATTTCCAACTTTCGTATCCCCCTCTATCTATAATCGTAAGTCCAGCTAACAGTTAAATAGTACTCTTTAACTAACTGATAGCAGAAACACAGTTTTCTGGACTTTGTTTAAAAAAATATTTTAAAGTAAAAAACCTGAACAAATTACCATAATCATTAATTAAGTTGTTTGTTTAATGTGTATGTATATATATATATATATATATATGGATGACCTAATTATTAATTTGGTGACGCATGTAGACTTGACGTTTTTATGGAGACACAAGTTCATTCAGTAGTTGGTCTCATGCATACTTAAGGAAATGTATTGGGAAGCCGTGTTAATGGTAAATTTGGGTGATATTCCAGTGTAAGCGCCAACAACCTCCCCAATGAATGATGAGCAAGGCAACCCCCACACTGCTTTTCATTTACCCAGCCTGACAAAACAAAAGTTTGTCAGCCATTTATTTTGTCCCTTTGACTATCCCCATCACTCTATTTCCTCCTTTTAAGAAATCATATATTAGATTTTGAAAAATGGGAATATCTACTCTCTTTCACCCAAAATACAATTAAGCTTACTTTCAACCCTTTACGGAGATTAATCGGA